TTCATGCCTGCAACAGGAACCGCCTTGAAGAGGATCTTGAGTTCCCTCTCTCAGGTGAGCCAGTCTTTGGGTGAGTATACCCTCTCACCATCTGAGTAGACGTTAGATATAAGCTCTAACATACAGCTTCCCCTTGTTGGACTCTGTGGTGAGTGGGGGCGTGAGAGAGTGAAGGAACTGCTAAATCACATGGCAACTAAAACCAAAACCCCCACGATCTAAGATAAAAGATGACAAACCATGCAAAGGCATCGGTCATGACAATCACTTTGAAGCCATTTATAGCTTCTTGTGACAGGAAAATAAACAGACCTACTGCAAATATGGAATTGGCAAACAAAGCATTAACAAACATATCTGTCCATGAAATTGTCCAACAGCTGTCCTCTCCAGGGCTGCACCTAAAACAGGGAAATCTCTGACTTCCCCTTAGACGGCCTCCCTGACCGATATGGGAGTACAAGCTGGGTCAGCCAAACTAGCCGCTCTCATGACCAAATCCCCGAACCCATGCCGAAGGGGCGGTCCAAAACAACCTAGACCGGAGACAAACTTTGAGGGAGAGTCTGGACCTTTGGCGTTTCTCACAGTTTAAGGTTCCCTATAAACCGTAAGGCTTCGGCAATGCCTACCAATTGGCGAGAGCATTAGAGGTGCAGAGGCAAGTCCGGTTGTCAACCCTGGTTGCCAGAGATCAAGGCATAATCATTGTGCCTAAAGATCAAGCCATCCTGAATTTCCTGCAGGAAATGAAACTCAAAGATGGGAACAACGTGATTATCTCACCACTGTATCCCGAAGATAGGAGAGGCAAGACGGTACTACTTGGCGTCTCAGTTTTTTTTTATGATGTGGAGGTGATCACATTACACCCCCAGGTCGTGGGGGCTGCCCGAATGTCGGAACACAACTAGACACGTTATGGTGACCCTTGATTTAGGTAACTGGGGCTCCTACAGCCTCAGAACCTATGTGCATATAAGGAGGGCCAAAGAGACATAACAGCCAAATGCCCCAACTGTGCCTAGAGGCATCATACCTGAAGTCTGGATTGCTCCGCCATGAAGGAGGCGGCCCACAGGCGACAGGTTATTAAAAAACGACCAAATTTTGTTCCTGCTCCCCCAGGCACCCATGGGGACAAAGCAAAAGGGAAAGGGCTCCCCGACCTCCTAAGAGGAAGGACGCACCTCCCCAGCTGACACCGGAGATCTCCAACAAAAAGGAGTTTCCGTCCCACTTAAGCGAAGTCAAGGATGCCAAAGAAACTGCCTAGAGAGTCAGGCCGGAAAAGTGACCCAAATTATGTGAGTCCTTTAGCCACCAGACCACCTTACAGAAAAAAACACGCAGTGTTGTTTAAACAAAAGTCAGAACTACCAAAGGTTATCCATTTCCAAGTAGACCTTTAGCCAGCCTATTAAGAAATATATAAGGATCCCTCAATCATGTCTTTATGTTGCACAGCTAGCACCAGAGCTAGATCACCCTGGTCAGAGTAATAATCCCTTGCTCCTCAATAGCCGATGCACTGCACTGTAGAGATATCGAATCTCTTGCAGTTGAGATCTACCGGGTTAGGAGCCCTCTCAAGCTTGTATAATGTGTACAGCAAGCCAGGCTGTAGGAGCTTGGACATCAGCCAGGTCTGTGTTTTTGCAGCACAAGATCGAGTGCTCATAGGAGGAGACTTCAATGCACACTACCCCAACCTGGATCCCTGTAGAGGACCAGATGCGGCAGGCTATCACATAGCTAATGTGCTTGAGACATTCCCTGGGATCACTTCTCAATAACCAAGAGCCAACGCATATCAAGGGAGGGGCCCTAGACCTCACCTTTGCCACTGCGACCTTGGTGGAGAGAATCAGATGAGACTGTTACATCTTAGGTGGAAAACAGACAAGCCCAATTGGCAAACCATTCAGAAAGCCTTATTAGCCAAAAGTCTCAGATGCAATGAACACCCACAGTGTGAAAACGTGGATGTACTTGAAGCCAAACTTGCCAGTGCCAAAAATCGAGCAGCCTTACAGACCATACCTAAAGCTCTGCCTTATTCCAATAGTTACAATGATGCCTGTTATTTTAATGATGAGATAAAGGGGGTCAACCACAGAGTGAATATGTGCAGAAAACAATTTTTAAGTCTAAAAAATAATAATAAAATAAATAAATAAATAATGATAATAATAACGATGATAAAAAAAAAGAATTAGCCCACTTAAGCGAAGACAAGTATGCCACGGAAACTGCCTAGAGAGTCAGGCAGGAAAAGTGGCCTAAATGATGTGAGTCCTTTGGCCACCAGACCACCTTACAGAAAAAAACACGCAGTGTTGTTTAAACAAAAGTCAGAACTACCAAAGGTTATCCATTTCCAAGTAGACCTTTAGCCAGCCTATTAAGAAATATATAAGGATCCCTCAATCATGTCTTTATGTTGCACAGCTAGCACCAGAGCTAGATCACCCTGGTCAGAGTAATAATCCCTTGCTCCTCAATAGCCGATGCACTGCACTGTAGAGATATCGAATCTCTTGCAGTTGAGATCTACCGGGTTAGGAGCCCTCTCAAGCTTGTATAATGTGTACAGCAAGCCAGGCTGTAGGAGCTTGGACATCAGCCAGGTCTGTGTTTTTGCAGCACAAGATCGAGTGCTCATAGGAGGAGACTTCAATGCACACTACCCCAACCTGGATCCCTGTAGAGGACCAGATGCGGCAGGCTATCACATAGCTAATGTGCTTGAGACATTCCCTGGGATCACTTCTCAATAACCAAGAGCCAACGCATATCAAGGGAGGGGCCCTAGACCTCACCTTTGCCACTGCGACCTTGGTGGAGAGAATCAGATGAGACTGTACATCTTAGGTGGAAAACAGACAAGCCCAATTGGCAAACCATTCAGAAAGCCTTATTAGCCAAAAGTCTCAGATGCAATGAACACCCACAGTGTGAAAACGTGGATGTACTTGAAGCCAAACTTGCCAGTGCCAAAAATCGAGCAGCCTTACAGACCATACCTAAAGCTCTGCCTTATTCCAATAGTTACAATGATGCCTGTTATTTTAATGATGAGATAAAGGGGGTCAACCACAGAGTGAATATGTGCAGAAAACAATTTTTAAGTCTAAAGAATAATAATAAAATAAAATAAATAAATAATGATAATAATAACGATGATAAAAAAAAATAATTTAGCCCACTTAAGCGAAGACAAGTATGCCACGGAAACTGCCTAGAGAGTCAGGCAGGAAAAGTGGCCTAAATGATGTGAGTCCTTTGGCCACCAGACCACCTCTACAGAGCTGTGGTAGATTATCAGGCGAGCTACCTGTTGTTCAGTCTCCAGGTGCACACATCACCACCCCTCAGTCAGAAGCAAACAGGCTAGTGCACGAGTTCTCTGCGAGAACAAGTTGCAACAGTCTGCCAGCTGAATTGAGGGCAAACCAAGAAAACCTACAATCAGGCAGACTTGCCCTTATCAGAGACAGGGCAGCCGACCCTAAGAAAAACATATGAATACAACTCTTGCTCAGCCCCGGACTCTGATTTGATCTTCTACCTTATCATCTATCACCTAGGACTGGCAAGTGAGCTTGCATTCCTGCAATTCATCAACAAGTTCTGAAAAACTTCCACTCTACCCCAGAGTTGGAAGAGGGCTGACATAGTTCCCATCACAAAACAAAAGGAGCCAGTGAGGCATCGCCCCATCTCTTTCCTCAGCTGTTTGGGGAAGATGACCGAAAGGATGGTACTAATCCGGCTCCAATGGAAACTGGAACCCCCACATGAACACTTCCATGGGTTCACAAGGGGCATGAGCACAGCACACAGCATAGCTACAAATTTAAACACAACCAGCACTGTCACATCCGTGCTAGTAGTCCTAGATCTAGAGACAGCTTTCGAGCAGGGACCACCAACCACAGCCGCCAGGCTGCTAAAGAGATTATGCCTTTCGCTTGCATAGAAGCGGCTGGAACGCCTGATGGCAATCCGGCCATTGCAGTAAGCGTTCGGTGATGATAAATCAATTGAGACAACCCCAGATAGTGAGCAGAGTGAGTCTGCTTCTGGTAAGGTGTGAGTCTAATGTGCTGAAATCAATAAAATAGTAAACAGGTTAATGCAAACGAAAACATCTATCCATATACACAACTGTGAGTTTCCTGCCAGGGAGGGAAACATCTTTCGACTCGCACACACGCATACGTGAGCGTCGGAGGCTTTTCCCTCACCCAAGCTTTTTTTTAAGCTTATGTTCACGGGGATCTCCATTGACGAGCGGGAGTGCCCTGCAGCTGGTTTGCTTGTGTGTGTGTGTATGTTTCTGTATGGTGTAGTTTGCGTTGTCGATATGTTGTATGCGATCCCAGCTCGCTTGCTTTGTGCATGTCTGCGTATGTTTCAGTGGCTCTATAGTGTTTTTTTTTCTGTATAGACTGCATCTTGACTTTCTGTGATTTAGATATTGGAATCAGTAGGATAGGTGTGTATTCGAGTATGGCTTTGTAGAGTCTGAGTTTAGTGACTGTTGTGCAGTACGAGAAGCATTTGATTTTTTTTTTTTTTTGGAGAGCTGCGCTTGCTAATTCTATTTTATGCGTTATGTCTGTATGTGAATACCGTTTCTGCTGAAGAGTAAGCCTAACATGTTTCCCGCAGTAGTGTATGTCTGTGTTGTTTGTGATTGATAAGAATTAACCTTCATAACAGAATACCAAGTATACAGTTTATTTTATGTACAGACGTATTGCAACACACACACACACACACACATATATATATATATAAACACATACAGTATATATCTTATATATCTGAAGAGATGAGTAGCACCACTTAGACTCATCTAGCAAATTCATCAGAATCTTCCAAGAGCTCTGAATAGTCGAGATAAATATTTTAGACATCACTTTCAATCTACAGATAGATATGCTTGTATGTGATTGATAAGAATTAACCTTCATAACAGAATACCAAGTATA